CTAATTCGAGCATCAATCTTAACAGCAACATAAGATCTATTTCTCCATAATCTTCAGCCTCTGGTTAGATGAAGGCTATTATTTTCCTAGACAGTGGGAGGGTTGATGCACAAGGGGAAGAGAACCAACAAAGAGAATTTTGCTGCTAATCGCCGAATCTCTAGCCTGCTGGTGGGGTTGTGTTACAGCCGGCACTTGGGCAGTAGTTTGTTTTCTTTCTCAAAGCAGCCAGGAGTGTGGAGGTTGTCGTGCGGCAGGGGTGAACACAGACATTCGCCTGTCCCTCCTTTGTTCCTGTGTCTCAGTGTTGGAGAAGGCTGAGTGGGCAACTCCCCCCCCCCTCTTTCTTTCCCCCTTTGGGTCCTGCAGGCAGTGGAGAAGAATTGCCAACGCAGCCTCGGGAAAATGACGGCTGCAGGAGAATAACTTGGCGTTGGGGCAGAGGGGCTGCCAAGATTGTCACCTAATCTGGCCAAGGCTGCGTGTGTCCTAGTTGTTTCCATTTTTTCTCTCTCACCCTAGCTGGTTCCAAGGGGAATTAATCCCATACTCTTTGTGCTTGAAAGGACACAGCTCGCCACAGAGGACAGACAGCGAGCCAGCCGTGTCCAGGCTTGAATAGGTTTTTTTCCCATTTTACAAGGCATCAGTGCTTGTGTCTGCCAGGTTGCTTTTCTGCAATGATTGGGCGGGGGAAATGTCAATCCAATGGTGACAATGCAGAGGGCCCCTCCTCCAAATTTATATTCCAGAAGAGGAGGAGTCTTGCATTGCTCTGCATTGATTGGCAGTTCCACCACCCTCCATCACACACTCCCCTCCCCTCCTCCAGTTTCCAGTGTCACTGATACAAAGGGACATCAGCTATCTTTGCCTTTTCCTGCACACACCATTTAACCACAACGGGAAGGGTGGGGGGAAGGGTGGAGAGAACCGTATTCTCCAGCCTGGCCCTGAATCTTATGAGACTGGAATTCCCGAACAACATTGAACTGGGAATCCTGAACCTGGAAATTCCAGACCGTCACGAAGAGGCAGTGAAGAGACAAATGGCGTGTCTTTTGCCTAATGACATTGACACACGTTACTGTCTTGTCTTCTGTTGCAGAATATGGCAGGACTGTGGTCTTTTCTAATGTCAGGAACAACATAATTTAAAGGAAGCTGATGCTTCATCCTTCAGGGTTGTTGAAATTGGTACCCCACTTCCCAAATGAACCAGAGTAAACTGTGCTCCTGATAGATGTTTACTTAAATATTAATCCCAATAAGATTGGTGTAGTTTCTCTCCCGCTGCCCCAACAATCTCTGCCCTTTGTAACACATCTCTCTGTCTCTGTCTGTCTGTCTGTCTGTCTGTCTGTCTCTCTCTCTCTCTCTCTCTCTCTCTCTCTCACACACACACACACACACACACACACACACACACAAAACACTGGCTCGACCCTGTTCTCCTGTTTCCAAAAAGCTTTAAACATCTAGTTTTTCCCACAAATCATGGGTTAGTATAAGGCTGGAAACTCTGGAGTTTGAAGAGTTCTTGATGCTCTCTAAACTTGGCTGTTTTCTTGCAAATGCTTCATTATCCAACTAGGTAACACCTTGGGGGGGGGGTTATAAACAAAGAGCATAGCCTACCTCTTTCTGATGCTACCTAATTGGATAATAAAATGTCTGCAAGAAAATAGCCAAGCCCAGAGAGCACCGAGGGCCTCTTCAACTCTGAGCTACAAATATTCATTTCTGTACAATTTGTTGGGTATGTGGAGATGTGTTGTGTTTGGGAACCAGGAAGGGTTTGTTTGCTTGTTTGTTTTTAGTTAATTTGGTGGTGGGGGGGTGGTTTTTGATGCTTTTTACTGTCTTTATTGTTTTGTGCTTACGAGCCACTCTGGCTTACACAGATCTTTTAAATAAATAAACAATGAGCCAATTTAGTAAGGGTGGATCTGCTTATTAAAAACATTATTTTCGAAGGGAACCTTCTTAAGTGAATCTGCCAAGTGGGAAAAAAAAGAGGAGCTGTGTTCCACTTTAAAAATGGAATAAAATTCCAATTTTGCAAAAGGCATTTTAGTTGCATCTTTGGACTCTGGGCTGGTTTTTTGTTTTTTTTAATAGCAAAATTCTAGCCTTTGCTTGGGAGACTTCTCACTTACTTTTTTGAGTGTAGTTGTGGATGAAGTGTTGTGTTGTTAAGCAATCATATTATAGTATTGTTATACCATACTAGTGAGCAAATGGCTGTTTGTAACAAAAGACCTTTTAAAAAAAAACACCCAACCATGGAAAACTTCCTCTCCTTTAAAAAAAAACAACACCCTTTGATGCTTAAGCAATTCTTTTCATCTTTGAGAGTAAACAACATGCTGCAAACACATTGCTGGTTTTTAATCATTTCCTAGCAATTGTATATTTATTTTAGCTTTTTTCACAAGAGGTCTGTGGATCCCTGTCCCTCAAGCTTCAACCTAATGGGGTGTATGAATTCAAAAGGTAGTAGTTTGTTCAAAGTGTCAAGTTTAATGGGATGTTCGAACCAGGTCTTCCTAGTCCCGTCTGAAACTGTAGCTCTTGAGAGTGGAGGTTTGTTCTCCAAGCTTGTGGGTGTCAGAATTCTGGCAGTTACCCCCATTTAAATCATGAGTCTTGAGCCAAACTTCCAAAACTTCCAAAAAGGATTTATTGGGAGTTAACATGTCTGGCACTGCCTGGGTGTAGCCGACTCTGAGACACGTCATTCATTGTCACCCTTGACCCTGGTTTTCCCCCACCCTCTGAGTGTATCGTAATTCATATTCTCCAATGGGAGACATCCATAGCCAAGAGTCATCAGTCATGCTCTTCAGTTAGAATTTTGTGCATAAGAAACTTTGGTCACCTAGTTACTATCTTTGAAAACATTTATGGAATGCAGTTTTGGTTTTGCAAGGTGCTGCACTGCTCCCCCCTCCCTTGGAAACTCTAAAAAGATCATAGAAATATTTTATGAGTTGACAGTGGGTTGGTTTCCAAAAGTTTCATTACCAGGCTAATAAACATCTTCAGCAGAATTTAGGGGATTTCTGTGTTCTTCTTTTATAAGGGTTTCAGGCGTGGGTGTGTCAAGTGAGGGACTTGTGATGGGTCAGCTGTGATTCATCAGTGAGTCTTGTAACTCTTGCATCACATATTCTTGGAATTGTGGGAGATAAAATTATGGGAAGACCCCATAGGAGCTGTCCAGAGTTGTCAGGTTGGAGAAATAGACAAGTATGAATCTTGAGATACAGTAGAACCTCTGGTCATGACCGTAATTCATTCCAGAACTTTGGCGATTTCTTTGTCTTCTAATGTTTTGTCTTAAGGAATTTCTGGGTCAGGAGTCGTGTTTGATCGCCATCTAAATACGTGTTTGTGACCAGATTCAAAGACATGATTTTTTGGGGGTTGGAACTCGATTTGGTCGTGGTCAGAAGCATTTGTGACCAGAGGTTCAACTGTACCTTGTTCTGGGATTATATTTTAGAAGAAAAGAATGGAATGGAGGCTTATAAATATAAATAGACCTCTTTTTTAAAAAAAAAAACTTATCCTGCAGAAAGACTTTTATTTGTAGAAGGTTTGGACATTTTTTTTCTCTTGAAGGCTTCTAGGCGCAATTCATACTTCTGATTACTACCTATAAAGATGTACACTGCATTAGTGTTTTACAAACTTGGCAACTTTAAGATGGGTTGCCTTCAATTCCCAGTACTGGCTAGGAAATTATGAGAGTTGAAGTCTACAAGTTTGAACTGGACTATACAGTGTAGAGGAGGTTGCCTTAAGGAATCCTGTATCCAAGCAGAATCTCTTCCTTCTGTTAAGACATCAAGAGAAGGTCTGTTCAAGGCAGGCAGGAACAGTTCAGAGGAGACAAGACGTTGCGAAGTAGACCGAGTCACAAAACAGCCATGGTGGGGATTCCAAGCACTGTTTTAGGGGAGAATAATAGACTCTTCTTTATTTATTCAATTTGCCTTTCTTTCTTGGTCAACTCAAAATGGCAAAGAGCCGTGGTAGCTTACTAGTTAGAATACAGTATTGCAGGCTAACTCTGCTCACTGCCAGGAGTTTGATCCTGACCAATGCGTGTTGACTCTGCCTTCCATCCTTCCGAGGTTGCTAAAATGAGGACCCAGATTGTTGGGGGCAATAGGCTTACTCTGTAAATCGCCTAGAGAGGGCTGTACAGCACTATGAAGCATATATAAGTCTAAGCCAGTGATGGAGAACCTTTTCATTGTGGTGTGCTGAAAGCGTGTGTGTGTGTGTGTCAGCACCCACAATGCAATGAGCCACACACACCCCCTGCATAAGTGTGCAACCTCCCCTTTCCTGCACTGCACAGCGCGCGCCTCCCAGCTGATTTTCGGCCTGTTTGAAGATGTTTTCGCCCTCCCGGGGGCTCGAGGGAAGCTTCTGCAGCCTTTGGGGGCTGAAAAATGGGCCCATTTGGCACTTCCGGTTTCGGCACATCCGGTATTTCCGGAAGGCCTGTTTTTCGGCCTCCAAAGGCTGCAGAGGCTTCTCTCGAGCCCCCAGGAACGGACCGAAAATCAGCTGGAAGGCACCTGCATGCGCAGTGCAAGTAAGTTTGGCTGGGGCTCGTGTGCCTGCACAAATGGCGCTGCGTGCCATCTGTGGCACACATGCCATAGGTTCAGAATCATGGGTCTAATTGCTATTGCATTCCTGTTTTCTCACAACAATTTCCTTGTGATGTAGGTTGGACTGAGAGAGACGGACTGACCCAAAGTCACCCAACTGGCTTTTGCTCCTAAGGATGGCCTAGACGTTACAGTCTCCCAGTTTTAGCCCAGGGCCTTTGCTGCCACACCCAACTGACTCTCAATCTCAGGGTCTGACCCTGGACTTGAATAGCCCTTCCCATTGTCCATTGCTCTATGCTCTTTGAGTCACGTGATTCCTTTTATTGGACATTTATTGATGGATCGTTCTTTCTCTTTGACTGACAGATCGATGAACTCCCTGAAGGAGCTGTGAAGCCTCCAGCAAATAAATATCCCATCTTCTTTTTTGGGACTCATGAAACGTAAGTGAGCAAATTCCATAGTAGACCTTTTAAAAGGCTTTGGTGTTTAAGCATCTACTTATTTATTTATTAGATTTATTTGCTGCCCATCTCATTTCGAAACCTATTAGGATGTGCAAAACGTCTTGAATACAAGTACTCCTCAGTTTATAATTGGTTGCTTACAGGCCTTTTGAAGTTACAAAGAACCTCCTCAGTGATACTTAATAACCAAGTTCCAAAGTTCCAACAGCACTGACTTGCAATTATGACCATTTGATGCATCCTATGATCACATGACTGCTTAACTGATGTTTTGCTGAAAACCAGCATTTATGAGTCATGGTGGCACAGTGCTTAGAGTGCAGTACTGCAGGCTACTTCTGCTGACTGCCGGCTGTCTGCAATTTGACGGTTTGAATCTCACCAGGCTCAAGGTTGACTCAGCCTGCTTAGAGAGGGCTGTAAAGTACTGTGAAGTGGTATATATAAATCTAAGTGCTATTAGGAAGGAAGGAAGGAAGGGAGGGACGGAGGGACGGACGGGAGGGAGGGACGGGAAGAGAAGGAAGGAAGGAAGGAAGGAAGATGAGAAGGAAGAAAGGGAAATGAGAAGAAGGAAGCCGTAGTGGCACAGTGGTTAGAATGCAGGATCACAGGCTAATTTTGCCCACTGCCAGCAGTTCGATCCTGACCAACTCAAAGTTGACTCCGCCTTCTGTCCTTCCGAGGTGGGTAAAATGAGGACCCAGATTGTTGGGGGCAAGAGGCTGACTCTGTAAACCACTTAGAGAGGACTGTAAAGTCTAAGTGCTAGTGCTATTTATTTCTGGTTTTCAGCAAAACCAGCCCATGGCAAACAATTGGATAATTGGTTTTGCTTAACTGTCCATGGCATTTGCTTAACAATCACTGCAGAAATGGTTATAAAATGGGTCACACGGGTAAGCTGCTTTACAGCTGTCATGACTTATGACCATAATGGATGGGCTCCTTTAGAGTCATAAGCCAAGAAGTACTTATATGTTTTGCACATGCTGAAAAGGGCTCTTCTGGTATTATTGGAAATGTCATTGGTCTCAGAAGTCATCCAAGAGTCTAACAGCATCCAGAATTCTTCCAGCCTCGTTGAAAAACCATCAGAGGTAATAACAGCTGCTTTGAGCACAAATAAGCTTGAAAGATTTCACATTCAAAAATAATTTGCAGATCTGCCTGCTTACGAAGGTTTCTTTTTTTGCTGTGATCTCAGACTGGATTGCAGCTGCGTCAAGAGTTTCGTGCTTTTTTTTTTTTTTTGCTGTTTTCTAAGGGTTGGGAGGAAGGGTTGTGATTATTAGTTGCCTAATTGCCCCCTTGAATAATCTTTTCTTAATTGTGATGGGGGCATTTCTCTTCTCAAAAGGGAGATGGTTTTAATGATCTGTTTCCTACAGTGGCAGTATTTTTCAGTTTGCATTTCTTATGGCAACATATGAAAAGCAAAAAATGAAAAAAAAATTGCAAGGAAACCTGTAATTACAGCCCCTTCAGTTCTCCCTTATCTGAAAAGACAGAGAGCAAATTAAGAAGGTATGCATTCATTCAGCGGGTCAGACCTTTAAATCCAGGAAATTTAATTTAATTCATTCTGCACTAAACAGTGTAGAAAGGTATTGGTCATCCACGTCACTTAAGGAAAAAGCATGCCTTCTCAACCCTTCGACTGCATCTGATGAAGTGAGCTGACGCCTTTTCATAAGAGGGCTTACTCAGAAAAAGATGCTATCAGGCTCTTGCGTTTTGCTACCAGAGAAGACTGCCTTCCTCCTAAAATTACAGCAGTTCAGAAGTGAAAAAAAAGAGAAAGCAGCCCTCGCTGTAGCCTGCCGTAAAAATACCCCGCAGCTAAAGGAAAAGGTCAGAGACAGGATAGTCTCCGAGCACAGCATCAACCAGGGTTCTGCTCTCTGCAGCGTCGATGGCTTTGCTGCAGCTCTCTGCCTGCGGAGTCACGGCTGTTTCCTTGGCAGTGGTTTTAGGAGACACTGTCGTAGAGGACTTGATTGGCAAGGGTGGACTATGTTTCATGAGTCACCGGATAAACACCGCTCACACATTGCAGTACCATCCAGATTAAATACTGTCAATTTGATGGAGCTGCCGTAAGTTTCCTCGGCCTGGGTGGACTTCTAGACATGAGCCCTGCCAAAAATTCTCAGCAGCAGTTGCAAAAAGCCAGAGGATTCTGGTTGTTGACATCCTCCCAACTGGACGTTGCCCTTGCTTGATCTCAGAAGTGAGATGAGCCTCGGTGGTGCAGTGGTTAGAGTGCAGTACTGCAGGCTACTTCTGCTGACTTCTGCCAGCTACATGCAATTTGGCAGTTCGAATCTCACCAGGCTCAAGGTTGATTCAGCCTTCCATCCTTCCCAGGTGGGTAAAATGAAGACCCAAAATTGTTGCGGGCAGTAGGCTGACTCTGTAAACTGCTTAGAGAGCGCTGTGAAGCACCATGAAGCAGTCTATAAGTCTATGCGCTATTGCTCTTGCTATTTTTCTCTGCTGCTCCTCTGAAGAAGCATCATTCCAATTTCTCACAGAACCACCAAGAAACGTTCACAAGGCCAGGTTGAGTAAACAAGGATTCCATAGAGTTCTATCATTGCGATTGCTTTTGTGGGCCCTCTTTGATCTGTAGCTGAACAAATTTATCAGAATGTAGGATTTCAAAAAGCCTGCAAGAAGCCGAGAGAACCAGTGTGGGGTAGCTGTGAAGGCATCAGGCTAGAAACCGGGAGATTCTTGAGTTCTAGTCCTGCCTTAGGCATGAAGCCAGCGGAGTCACCTTGGACCAGTCAGTTTCTCTCAGCCCTATGAAGGAGGAGGAAATGGCAAACCACTTCTGAAAAATCTTGCCAAGAAAAGTTCAGGGACTTCTCCAAGCAGTTCCTGAGAATTGGACATGATTGAATACAAGGGAGAGAGAGAAAAACCCAAACAATTCATAAGAAGCCAAGAATAAGTTCTAGTGAATAATCCTAAATCGGGGGAGGAAGCAGCAACAATAAACTAGAGTGCAAAACTTGGAGCTCTCCAGATGTTGCTTCTCTGCAGCTCCTGGTCTCCTTCACTCCCTGTGTGTGAAACTAAACAGCCATCGTAAATCAATATGTCAGATCCTGGTTTCCTTTAGAGCAGGGGTCTCCAACCTTGGCAACTTTAAGACTTGTGGACTTCAACTCCCAGAATTCCTCAGCCAGCAAAGCTGTGGGAGTTGAAGTCCACAAGTCTTAAAGTTGCCAAGGTTGGAGACCCCTGCTTTAGTTTAGATTATGAGAAACCAGCTGGACTGCATGCCGGATGCTTAAATTAACCAGAGTTATAGAAAAAAAACCATGTATGCAACCAAGCCATACTTAGACAATCAATCTTGATTGAAGAGGGTGGGATCACTTCCCTTTTTTCTGTCTTCTAAAAATGTACAGAGAAGAGAGGTTTCGGAATATATATATAGATGGTGTCTTCTTTCACTGATGAATAACTGCAGGAGAAATCACCTGTGTCTTCCTAGCCAAAGTGGTGACATGAACGCAACGTTATGCGATGGACCAGCATGTTGCAATGAGTTGGCAAGTGCTTTTTATGTCTCTTCACCACAGGAGGGCAGATCCTCCTAAACTTTTAACCATAAAAGAACTGCAGTTGTTTACAGGAAAAGAAACCCTGAACACGTAATTCCTTCCTTATTTAGGAAATGCATCATTTTCTCTCCGTTAAGTTGATGAGAGCATACTTTGACAATTAGAGCACATTTCTTCTGCCTTTTGGAGCACTCCTGGCTAATAGCTAAGATGTCAGCCATTCAGTAACATTGCCTGGTGGCAGCAGAGAGAGATGAACTAACCACAGAGAAAAGTGTGGCTGAATCACGCCAGGGGAGCTAATGTACCACAAATGGTGCAGTAACCCAAAATGTAAGATCAATTCATGTCCCCCAAGACACAATGTGCAAAATTTGGGGATAAACAAATGTCCTGCCAAAAATGTCTTTGCAACTCAGCTCTCAGCTGCTCAAGAAATCAGGAATCAAGGCTGTTCAAATGAGAACAAGTTTATTTCATGCTAGCTCTCTACAAGAATGTGAACTACCCAAGATCAAAGGAAATTGACAGTAGATAGGAGTCAACAAATTCAAGGTGGACCAGAGTTATAGCTCTTGTGGGCATGAAGGGATTCCAAACTGATAACATGCTTAACCTCTCCCTCAGTTTGGTCATCAGTGGTGTTAAAAATCAATTTCATGGAGGGCCGCATCAGGGTTGTGGTTGATCTCGAGAGGGCGGGGTGGCCGGGCATGGCCGACTGGGTGGGTGTGGCCAACTGGGTGGGCATGGCCAGCATGATGCCACTCCCCAAACTACTGGCATGTTTCCTCTTTGCACTGGATAGACCAGGCCAAAGCGACGCGAACTGGCCCCTTATATTTTCCAGGATGGTCCCATGGGCTGGATCTGACCACATCAGATGGGCCTTGAGTTTGACACCCCTGTCCTACATCAGCAACATTTACAGTAGCAAGGGCTAAATGAGTCATTCGCCTGTGTTAATGGGGTGACATGAGTAAATTGGTGACAGGGCCAAATTAAATTGTTTAATACCAGAAGTTAGCAATTGTGTAAATGATTTTTTAAAAAATGTGTAAGCAGGGGGCCCCAGGGCTTTGAAATGCTGCTCTAGAGAACTGGGCTCTCTTTGTGGGCTTGGCATAGTTTGGAGAACAACGATAGTTAAGTAGATAAGCTTTACCCTCAATGAAGATTGCAGCCACTTATAAACTGGGATCACAGAATGTTGGCTAATCCCCAAGTTATGGCTGGTTGGTGCCTGAATCTCAAGCCTGCAATTGTGGAAGAAAACAGTGGCAAACCCCTTTAATATAATGACTCCCAAAATCTACAAGAATGTGTTCCTGTAACCACCAAGAATCAAGCTCAGGTTGTCTTTCCCATCCCACTGATGTTCTAAATATGGACAGGTATCCTTTGGTCTTCTTCAGTGGAGTATCCTTGTACAAGCTGATATTATAAATCGCCCAGAATTCTCCAGTCAACATGGCCATGTTGGATGGGTGTGTGTGTGTCACATAATATGTCTGGAATGTGCAAAGTGGGAAAATGCTGCATAACTGCAATTTCTGAATGGGAAAAAAAATCAGTGGCAGATGTTATAATTTTCCTCCAAAGGCCACCAAGTGGCTCATCTTTCAAAGCTCTAACCACGGATTAAGTGATGAGGTTCACATGCCACAGTTTGATGTGGTATCTGAACCGAGCCACAGCTGGCCTATCCAACGAAAGGGGATTTAGGTGCCATTTTTCGCAAGTTAATGAATAGTACGTCTGTAAAGAATACGGATTATAATTCCATCTGTCATTTGACCCTTTCCTTTCTTCAACTGCAGGGCATTTCTGGGGCCCAAAGACCTCTTCCCTTACAAAGAATATAAAGACAAGTTTGGAAAATCAAACAAACGAAAAGGGTTTAATGAAGGCCTGTGGGAAATCGAAAACAACCCAGGTGTCAAGTTTAGTGGATACCAGGTAAAAATGGACTTCCTTTTTCTATCTTTTACCACCCAACCCATCACCCCTTCCTTTTGCCAATGTGTGATAGCGAGGACTGAAGGCAAAACTTGTGTAGCCAGAACTGTTGGTTTTGGATCCCTTCTCTTGTGAGATTTTGCCTAAGCAAAGTCACAAAGATGACTAAGTAGGATTTTATACAACTGGAGAAAGGATGATGCTGGTCTACCGGGCATGATGCTGTCTACCCTCCAGTGAGTAAGGATCCTTGCTGAGTTGTGATCAGAAGGAAAGCATGGCACATTCTTCATGTTATAGCATGGGTAGACAGGTAGTCTTCAACTTAACAACCATTTACTTAATGACCACTTGAAATTACTACGGTGATGAAAAAAGCGATGTATGACCATTTTTCACACTTAAGACTATTGCAATCTTCCTGTGGTCACGTGATCAAAATGACTTTAGGACATGTGATCAACTGAGAGGGTTCCAAGTAACATACCTGTAGCAAACAAAACTCCGAGGCAGGTAAATTCCTCAAAAGAATACGTTTATTGGATATGTCATATTGGCACAGGCTGGTGAAAACTGTCTCTGAGTATTCCCATGGTTTTCACCTAATTAAAAGTATAAGTTTTTCACTTTCTCAAAACAATCAGTCATTTGGTCCAGTTGCTAGGTGACTTCATTCCCCTCCTTCCAAGCACCTGCAGAAATGTCCTTGGTTCCCAAGGGAAAGTATTTTATTTTGACAAACCTCAACTATCTCTATGTCCCCCTCCCTATCCCTCTGCTCCAGTGTGTGTGTGTCAGCATTAAAGTCTCAAAATGGCCTCAGTCAGGCCAGCTTCAGGGCTGACATCAACTATTGCACGGACTGTTACCAAACTAACCTAGTTTGAGGTCTAATTGTTGGCTTTATTCCCAAGGCTATTCAGCAACAGAGCTCCTCAGAAACCGAAGGTGAAGGAGGGAACACGGCAGATGCTAGCAGCGAGGAAGAAGGGGATCGGGTAGAAGAAGATGGAAAGGGCAAAAGGAAGAACGAAAAAGCGGGCTCAAAACGGAAAAAATCTTACACTTCAAAGGTAATTCATGAAGCTCTCACTGACGATCTGGAGCTGTTTTGATTTATAGCAGGAGTCTCCAATCCTGGCAACTTTATGACTTAACGGACTTCAACTTCGAGAATTCCTCAGCCAGCCATGCTGGGAGTTGAAGTCCACAAGTCTTAAAGTTGCCATGGTTGGAGACCCCTGATCTGGAGAATGTTTCCTGGCTGCCTTTAAGTCAAGGATGAATTTTTTTAAAATCTGCTTTTCAGAATTGTTCTTCAACATACTGAAGTGGGTAATGTTTGTCTGTGACGACAGAAAAAAATAAAATACGATCAAAGTTAAGGTTGGCCACTTCACAATCCTAATTCATCCAAATCCTCACCTCCCTCCCTTTGTAACACACACAATTATTCAGAGTTTCTTATTTTAGGAAAGAGTAAGGGCAATGATATATAAATATGCCATGGTGTTTGAAAAGGAACACCCAGATCTGTAAATCTAAGTGGAGGGAAGACATTTGCATGGTGGCGCAGTGGTTAGAATCAGTACTACAAGCTACTTCTGCTGACTGCCAGCTGCCTTCAATTTGGCAGTTCAAATCTCACTAGGCTCAAGATTGACTCAGCCCCTCCATCCTTCCAAGGTCGGTAAAATGAGGACCCAGATTGTTGGGGGCAAGAGGCTGACTCGGTAAACTGCTTAGAGAGGACTGTAAAGTACTGTGAAGTGGTATATATAAGTCTAAGTGCTAATAGGAAGGAAGGAGGTAGGGAGGGACAGGAAGAGAAGGAGGGAAGGAAGGAAAGAAGGAAGGAAGGGAAACAAGAAGAAGGAAGCCGTGGTGGCGCAGTGGTTAGAATGCAGGATCACAGGCTAATTTTGTCCACTGATAATAGTTTGATCCTGACTGGCTCAAGGTTGACTCAGCCTTCCATCCTTCCAAGGTGGATCAAATGAGGACCCAGATTGTTGGGGTCAAGAGGCTGACTCTATAAACCACTTAGAGCAGGATGTAAAGCACTGTGAAGTGGTATATAAGTGTAAGTGCTATTGCTGTTTGGGAAGGGAAAGGATGAAACGATTAAGAATAAAACTCCTTTCTACCCCAGGAAACAAGCTGATGCATTTGTAATTAAACCCAAGAATAGTCACCTTAATACTCTTAACCAGAACTTAACAATTTACTAATACTAAGCTATATAGCTTGGGAAAATAGCTTTGGTTTCACGTTTTGTTTTGTTTTTCTTGATGGATGCCCCTAGAAATCTTCCAAGCAATCAAGGAAATCTCCCGAAGACGAAGATGATAAGGATTGCAAAGAGGAAGAAAATAAGAGTAGCTCTGATGCCGGTGAAGCAGGCAACGACACACGAAACACTTCTTCAGACTTGCAGAAAACTAGTGAAGGGGTAAGGCCTTAGGATTCCTTCCGAAGCTGCGTGATTTTAAATAGATACATGGGGGGGTGGGGGGTGGGATCCACCTGTAATCCCCAAATTCTGCAGCCAGCCGAACTGTTGGACATACCACTTGGTCCATCTAAAAGGGCAACCTCAACTCATCCTAGAAACCCTGAGCTAGGCAAGATAGAAAGGCAGGCAGTGTTCTGGCCTCAGTGCCAGAGCAGGGTAGCATCTAGTTTGACAGTGATATGTTCAAAAGCAAGATTTTCCCCGTAGTTTTGTTTAACTAGATTTGTTAAAACGGACTACGTTTCAGAAACTTCACTTTATTGAATAGTTTTTAACTTCCAGAAGCCACCCCCCAGGCTGAAGAACATTTTCAGCCTCTCAGCCATGATCTCTGGGTGAACTGGTCAAGGGGTCCTTTGTTTTAACCCATTAAGAGGAATGTCCAGGAGTCCCGAATAATTTCTGAACATGCCATTGCACACAGTTGCATTGGCTGTTCTTGAAACTCTGTACATGGGCATTTGAGAGTCCTCTCTCAGTAGCTTCTCCCTACTTCTTAAAAATTGAGTTCTAGATATTTCCCTGGTGCACTTGGTGTTTTTCTTAGTTGCTCACTTTAATTAATCTACTTAAACCTGGCTAGCTGTTTTATGTTTTGTTTTTTGTGTTACAAAGCATGGCTTGTATTAACCATGGCCTTTTATATTTGAATGGGCTTAGACGGGATTGCTTTGTATTCTCCCCATCTCTGCTGGGTGCCATTAGAAGGAATGAGGGAAAATGAGCCTGGAATTGAGTCAAGCAAGCCATAGGTGCTTTGCTGTCCGCAATATGGATTCTGGCTTGTTCCTGAATGTCTAAAGAGATTCTCAAGTCACCCAGATCATGGTTCTCCCAAGTGAGCTTTTTCAAGAGGCAACTGGACTTCCTTTGTTTTTCCTCGAAGACATTTCGCTTCTCCTCCAAGAAGTTTCTTCACTTCTAATGTCAAAATTGAACGGCCCTTTCTCAACAGAGGGGGAGAGATACCACACCGCCTGTCTCCCATTTACAACGCAATCCTTTCAGCAGCTCCAAGAAAGTTCCGCATCCATTTGCGCTATTCAGATGACCCTGTGGGCACAGATAAACCTCCAAGTGGCCTCAACGACTCTCAGAAAGAGTGCTAACGACCAGATGACTGCAAGGGATACACATCCTTCCATTGCCCTTCATTCAGTCAGAACAGAAGAAAGCTTCTTGGATAAGAAGTGAAACCTCTTCCAAGGAAGAACAAAGAAAGTCCAGTTGCCTCTTGGAAAAAACACCTTTAGGATGGCTTGTTCCTAACTTGTTTAACAAGTTCAGTTTTCTTTTGTATGAATGCCTCTAATGTTGACGGAATCGTTTCAATCTGAAAAAGTGATCCTTCTTTGTTTTTTTATCTCTCCCTAGACTTAACCAACATATTGACTGCTGCATATTAAGGGAAGACACAAGAAAGTGACATGTTTGGTTGTTTAATATTCTTGGATTTGATTAAAGTCAGCACATCTGTCCATCAGCAGCATATATGTTTGTATGCACATTTAGCCACATTCCTGCCCATTCTGTTCTCAGCAGCAACTTTCAACATCATACCCCCCCACCCCCCATTGACACCCCACCAGGTCCTTTTCTAAATGTCCTTTTATTTAATTGCCCAAAAAGTCTCTTTTTCAAGCAAGACCCACACCGACAACGGCCATTTTTAGATAACTACTACTACTTTTTTTTTTACAGAAAAAGAAGGGCAACATCTCTTAAATTTTAAAACGAATCTTTAAAAACTGCCTTTAAACACTTAGAAATACATGCCCTCTCCTAACAAGTCACAAGGATCTTTATTCTGCTTAACAAATCATTACGTTTTAAATTAGCCCTTTATCCATTTGTTGTTTTGCGGGGTTTTTTTTTTAAAGGGGGTTTAAAAACAAACATGGCCAACTAGCAACTTAGGAATGCTGGTTGTCTTGAGTAATTTTCTCTTCGCTGACATCCGGCTGTGTTTTTAGCAGATTTGCTCGCATTTTCATTTTTTAAGGAAATGGGGAGGGGGGGAAAACGTATTTTCAGCTTGTAAGAAAAAGATCAGCCATCTCTCCTTGGATTTTGTATGCATTATGTAAATGTACATATTTTGTATGTAAAGCAACACGGAATTCCAAATTTTGAAACCCCAGATCAAGATTCCATCACATTTATAGCTCATTGAATTCACCATGGCAAAAATATTCCTGCAGTCCATTTTTTAACTTCTGTCTGGAAAATTCAATTGTTTCCTACCCACCAGGAGTACAGAAGTTGGCCATCTCTGTTTTTAAAACCTCACAAGAAAATGTACTTGATTTATTACCATTATAACAAAAAGTCAATAATTGTAAGAAAGTACCTTTCCTTATTAGAACACTCTAGCTTAGCTATACTCTTAATCCTTTTCAAGATCATGACGTAATGTAAGTTTCTCTAACTTAGTTCCTATATGTGGAGTTAGTAAAAAGTCTTTTGTGTTTCTCTAGATGAATAACAAGGAACTTTTTTGGGGGGGGCCAATACAAATTGGAGCTTACTGTGTTTTGGGGACGCCTTCCACTTTTAAGCTTAATTGTGATTACTGAAAGGCCAACGGGAAACAAAGCCAAAACATCCAATTAAAGTATAAGAATAACAGTTATACTGAAAAGCTTAAAAAACAACAAAAAGAGGGGGAAATAAACCCTGTCATTTTTCTGTTTTTTTTGTTTTGTTTTCTACTCTCAAAACTAGATCTAGACTAGGTAGGTAAGCATTCCAGAATCCATTATTCTGTGTACATTATTGTTGCTATTGTGAGAATAGAGAATTTTATTTATTTTTTAAGGCCAGCTTTTATTGTGAAGACATATGGGTTTAGTCCGGTTTTATCGACCCTTGTTATGCTCGTCCTTGGACCATCTCTCTGCGTACTCAAGGTTTGTAGTTGAAAAGTTTACTGTACAAAAAAAAGAAAAAAATCAAAAAACAAAAAAAACTATTGTTTTTACAGAATAAATTTATTGGAATGTGTATTGGGAGTAAGGTTTGAGGTTGTAAGCAGCTGAGTTAGCGTCATATTTGGCTTCATAACGTGTAATGTGAGGTATTCATGTAACTCGAGTATTAAAGCAACGCATTCTGTTAACGCTTGAGTTGGTTATAATAGAACACCAATGCAGGGGAAAGCTTCCTTGTGTGTGTCCCATGGCTTTGATTTGTGTCGGTTGTGCTGAATCTGATATTGGAAGGACTAGACCAATCCATGGCTCTCTGCAAAGGGCCCACAAACCAGGGTGGCGCAGTGGTTAGAATGTGGTACTTCAGGCTCACGTTGCCAGAAGTTCAATTCCCTCAATCCCGACAGGGCTGAAGGTTGACTCGGCCTTCCATCCCTTCTGAGGTTGATAAAATGAGGACACAGATTGTTGGGGGCAACTATTCTGACTCTGTAAACTGCTTAGAGAGGATTATAAAGCACCGTGGAGCAGTATATAAGTCTAAATGCTATTGCTATGCTAAATTTTCACATCACATGAGCATCGATAGGGCTCTTTGATCACTGCCTACTAGGTGGTGCCTAGCCAGTTTCGGCTAAGCAAAGTCAGGCATGGTTAATATTTGGATGAGAGACTTCTAGGAAATAAGGAAAGTGGGGAGCTAAAAACAAAATCCTGGAGAAAAAAAAAAGCAATAGCAAATCACTACTTATTTGGGCCACCAAAGCTAAATAGCCTTTACTACTAGTATATGATTGCAGCCAACATTGCCTATAGGTGGCCCTCAATGTACCACAGTGGGGTCTAGAATTTCCATTGACAAAGCAGGGGAGTTGTTAAGTAAATCATGCCTCAATTTGTGATCTTTGAGGCCATGGTTGTTAAGCAAATCACTGCAATTGTTTGCCAAAGCAAATCCAGCTCCCCCCCCCCCCCCATTGATTTTGTAGGAAGCACTGAGAGGGTGCAGAGCTGAAGAAGGCAGCGCCTCATCATGGCTGCTCCATTCGTTAGAGTGTGCTAAGTTGAAGGCTTAAACTTGGGACTTGGTATTGTACGAGCCAAGATTATTGGATTCAGTCAATAATCATAGGTTAAGAAACCATGGTTACCATTCTGTGCAGACGTAGTTTCCCCAGTAGTTCTCAATAATAACAAAACAGCATATTCACTGTCAGCAAGATGTGGCAAAATTTCTAGGATGGTTGTATTGGTCTTCGAACATCATTTTCCAGCTAAGACTGAAAGCTCCTACTTTTCTCTTGTTTTGTCTTTAATACGTCCCCTTGGGAATTTTTTTTAAAAATCCAGTGGGTCAGTCAAAACTGACCCCACCTGAGGAAAAATGTCCTGCTATTCATTCCTGAAACCATTTAAATCACCTGTGTGGTTGAAAATGAAATTGGTACAGAGGGAGATTAGAAAAATGGATGAGGGAGTTTTATTAACAAGAGTTCGGACAACACCAGAAGCGTTAGTTGCCTGGGGGAGCGAAGGGGCTGCTTTCTTGAATGATTTAAACATCACCCCCCATCACTACCTCATGGGGTAAGTCCCAAACTAAACCGATTCTATTTGGAGAAAGAGATTCCCACAGAATCTGGAAGCAAGCTCTTGAGAAATATTATGAAAGACAGAAGTCTTTTATTTTCAGTACACTTTTGTTCCAACTGGCAACCCCTTCCTTGCAACACCCCACAGTTTTGATGCCATCTTCTTAGTCCACCTTCTCTTCCAGCTGGGCTTTCATGAAAAACTCAGGGCTGCGGATACAGCGATACACAAACAGCTGCGGGAGGACTCCATGGATCACATTGAGAATGAAAAACCACAGCTTCCCTTCATCAGGGACTCTGTAGATGTAGGGCGTTCTGGCATGTATGGAAGCACCAATGTGTGAGAACTGAGCCTGGAAAGCAGAAGGAATGGATTTCGAGTTGTCATTTCTGTAGGAATCAGTGTTAACAGCCCCCTTAATTACTGGATGCATTAAGACATTTCCTTCAATCAGAGAACCATGACCCATCGCTTTTGGAAATCCCAGAGCCCATGTGCTATGGGTTTTTAAATGAGACTCCCTCTACCCACCTCTTTGTTCTGGACCCATGCATTTTAGGGGAACGGGGTGAACAGCATCCCTCCAACATACCCTCCCAAGTTCAAATGCATCCCCTTATCTTGAAATCATTATGTATGCCATCTCCAAAATACAATCCCCTTCAGTGGTTTGTAGCTTTGCATCTTGGGCAAACCAAGCTCGAAAAACATTTATCATATGGCCCGTTCACACCACATTTCAATAAAAAACATTACAAGAGATAAAAAATATAAAACATGAAATATAAAATTAAAATAATTATAAGCGTACGTTTAGATTACAGATATAATTTTGTTTGCTTCGTTTGTCACCATTGGGAAATCAGCAAAGTATCTGTAAAACAATGATTTGATTTAGTGGGAACACTGAAGCTAACCAGCAGTGGCTTAGTCAACCAGCTAGCCTGATTAAGCAAACCATTTAAGTTTGAACCAAAGCTGATTGGGCTTAACCACCAGACTAAACCAGAGGAAAACAACCCATTATTAGGGCTAATTCAATATGCATCCCCTTTCCATTAACTTGCTTGTTATTTTAAGCACAGCATCAATCAAAAGTTGGCACATACTAGATATCCTGTTATTCTGCTTTGAGAAACCAGAATGTTCTGGAGAGGATCCATATCTCTCTCTGTCAGCTCTTGGCATAAAATCGGGACATCCACTAGAGTTTTCCTGCTTTGAACTTTGACACAATGGTATGTAGCCTTTCCCAAGTGCTGGACCTGATCTGCTGCTCGATAAAAAGTTAATTGAAAAAAAAAATAGAGTAATTTGCTGTTTTCTTTGCTAAGAGCAAGGCTTTCGTTTAGTTTCAAGAGAAGAAGCTGTTGCTGATTGGGTTTTCTGGAGCATACCGTAAACTTACATCGAAGGTTATGAGCAAGAGCCGAGCCAAAGAATATTTTTAGCATAAAACAAACACGTAAAGATAGAAGCAACTAGGATAGCTCAGGATTGTGCTTTGTCTTTCATCTGTTATCCTCTGTTTTGAGCAGTGGTTCATTTGTGTATTAGCAATGTTGATGATTAATCTGAATAGATAGAATAGAATAGAATTCTTTATTGGCCAAGTGTGATTGGACACATAAGGAATTTGTCTTGGTATAAATACTCTCAGTATACATAAAGAAAAGGGACATTCGTTAAGGATCAAGAATCATAATGTACAACACTTAATGATAGTCATAGGGTACAATCAACAATCAAATCATACTAGGAAACAGTCAAGTGAGAGGGTGATAAGGAGTGGTGAGAAGATTAACAGTAATAGTAGTGTACACTTGTAAATAGTTGAACAGTGTTGAGGGAATTATTTGTTTAGCAGGGTGATGACTTTCGGGAAAAAACTGTTCTTGTGTCTAGTTGTTCTGGTGTGCAGGGCTCTGTAGTGTCGTTTTGAGGGTAGGAGTTGAAACAGTTTATGTCCAGGATCTGAGGGGTCTGTAGATATTTTCACAGCCCTCTTTTTGACTCATGCAGTATACAGGTCCTTGGTGGAAGGCAGGTTGGTAGTCATTGTTTTTTCTGCAGTCCTAATTACTCTCTAAAGTCTGTGTCTGTCCTGTTGGGTTGCAGAACCAAACCAGACAGTTAAGAGGTGCAGGTGACAGACACAATCATTGTTCTGTAGAACTGGATCAGCAGCTCCTTGGGCAGTTTGAGCTTCCTGAGTTGGCTCAGAAAGAACATTCTTTGTTGTGCTTTTTTGATGATGTTTTTGATGTTAGGTGTCCATTTTAGGTCATGTGATATAGCAGAACCTAGAAATTTGAAGGTCTCTGCTGTTGATACTGTGCTGTCTAGTATTGGAAGAGGTGGTAGTATAGGAGGGTTTCTTCTAAATGATCCCTGACCCTCATCTGCAGAGGAAGGGCTGATCAAGTCATGCTTTAGACAACTTGAGTTTTTATGGGAATAGGGCTGATCCGTGGAGAGGTCTCAATATTAGTCTGCATCCTATGACAAGAAGACAGAGAAGGATGGCCAGATGAGGAAGTATCTCCAGTGGCAACAGTAGTTCTGTTTGTGTAATAATGGCCTCAGAGATCTGGTGTTACAAGAAAGGTATATCTCCATGTTTAAGCTGAGTGGCTGTGGAGATTTTCTGCTGTTGGGGAAAGGTAGCACAGGATCTTCTTGGTGGTGGCTCCACAATTGTGGAAGTCCTCTCCAAGAAAATCTGTCTGCTGTCCTGTTTCTCCAATTTAGGCAAACATGGAAAACTGAGAAAGTTTGTTCTTTTTTAAAAAACTATTAATCAAATAAAGAAGGTTCAGGTTTTGTTTTTTTTTAACATTGTTGATATTGTTGGGTTTGAAATCTTTTTTCCTGCCATTAACCACCTTGGGCATTTTTTTTTATTTTTTGTATTTGAAGAGTTAAAGAAGTAAATAATCAAGTAACTCTTCTTTTGAGGAAGAATCAGATATGAGAAACCCTCCACTCTGATGAACACAGAGGGCTGGAATTCTAGATATTAAAGATTGTAAACCCAGAAAACGACCTGATGTTTATTTGTTTAGCAGTAGCAATTCTCCTTGTGAGTAGCACACTTAGCAATCTGGATTAATTGTATCTGGTCTGAAGGTGTGGCTGGTGGATGAATATCCTGAAATTGTTTTGGGTGTGTTGTTCCAGCTATTTCTTGGATGAGTTTCTGGAGCTGTTCCTTCTACCTGTCTATGGAGATTCTCAGCCATCTAGGTCATGGTTGTCCCAAAGGTGCTTTTTCAAGAGGCAACTGGACTGTTTTTGTTTTTCCCTGAAGATGTTTCACTTCTCCTTCAAGAAGCTTATTCAGTTCTGCTGTTTCACCTTTGCTAAATTCAGAATCTTGATCTCAATGGTGCAAAAAACCCAGCTATTTCCATTACTGATCCATCTGTCTGCTTTCTTTAATCTTGCTGTCTTTAGCCTCTTTGCAAGCTCTTCATCCATGCTGAATACATACTGGGTGGGGCTCTAAACAGGATAATATCTCCAGTGGCAACAGTACTTCTGCCTGGATAGTAACAACATTCCGATTTCCCCATGCGCAAACAACAGCAGAAAAAATTGAATAGGTAGCTTTATCCCTTCTGAACAGTGATTGAACAGTTGAGTTTATTATGTTAAGCTATGAGGCCTGTGTTCGGACAGCATGCTAACTGAACCATCTTTATTTGATTAATACAGTTGCCTGAGTTTATCCAACATATTAACCAGAAATGAAGAACATTGGCTGAATTTGAACATGTCTGCAAGCCACAAATTAGCTAACCGTTCATTTTAGGTTAGTAGGTTGATCAAATCCAGCCCTTGTGGTTAACTTAGTTTTGACTTAAGCACGTGAAGCTAGCCGTTGGAGTTGGCAAACCATTTTTAATGGCTTGGGTGGTATGTGAACTCGGATGGCGTTGATGATTTTATTCCACTGTGTATATACTGTATTTTGGCCAATGCAAAGCAGCAAACATGCCTAATGCTCCTTCCTCTTCCTCCTCTTTTCGCCACAAAGCTTTTGAGATGGGTTGGCTGAAAGAGAGGAAGTCCACAGTAATTCAGTTGGCTTTGAATGGCTAAGGGGACCTAGAACTCCTCATCTCCAGTTTCTAGGCCAGCACCTTCTCCATGATACCAAACTCTGCTTTATTCAGTAAACTATAGCTTAGGATGAATGGTTATGAAGAACAGTTGCAAGAATTAAGTATGTATGGCTAGTCTAGTGAGAAGAAGGACCAGGGGGACACTGTTAGCACTGTTCCAATATTTGAGAGGCTGCCACAAAGAAGAGTGGTGGTGGTCAACTTATTCTCCAAAGCACCAGAAGGTAGGAAAAGAAGGAATGCATGGAAACTAATCAAGGAGAGAAGCAACCTAGATCTAAGGAGAAATTTCCTGGCAGAACAATTAATCCATAGAACAGCTTGTCTCCAGAAGTTATGGGTATTCCAACACTGGAAATTCCAAAGAAAAGATTGGAAAACCATTTGTCTGAAATGGTATAGTGTCTCCTACCTGAGCAGGGGGTTGGACTAGAAGTGCTCTACAAGATCCCTTCCAAGTCAGTAGGCTTTCTATGTTCTGGTTCATAGCTGCTTGTCCCCCTTTGAACGTGGAAGTGGGACAGAGAAAAACCATGCCTTCCATACGAGATCATTAAAAATGTTCTGGTCTTACCTGAGCTAGTCCTCCGGCATGAATAAGAGTTAAATCGAGCATCCAGGTGCACCCAGGTACAAGCAGACCATAGAGTGAAATTATGTAGTATGGCACTGAGTAGAACATATAGACCAACATCTGCAATGTTAGAAGAGATGAGAATTGGTCTTTGCACCTTCAAAACAGGAGCCATTTGTTTATGTGTGAAGTCTCCCTGTACAATTTTGTAAATGATGTCATCTAATCCATAAATTGTGGTTTATGAACCATAATAGTTGGGTACAATCTGGTCAAGCCATAGTTGATTTTTTTTAATTCATGCAAAATATGAACCCTGCTACTCTATTAAGGCTTGAAAATTGTGACCTGGTTGTAGTACAAAGCCAGCCAATAAGGTCTTAGTCTAAAAATGTTGATAATTAGCATGATTTGTCATCACACCTCAGGCTAAACCACAATTGCTGAAGAAACCCTTTGCTGGATTCATATGCCAACAATCAACAGTATCCCATCCTAATATTTAGATTTACACAGAAGTCTAAACAAGGGCTCCCCAACTTGTGGGCCATGAGAGGTTTGCAACCGGGCCACGGAAATGGCAGGCGAGCGCATGCGCTCTATTTAAGCGAGCGGCAGGCATGCATGCTCAGCACTTGCACAAATGAAGCTGTACGTGCATACACTTGCCAGCTGCATTTGCAGGGACATTTCTCCCCATCCTGCTGGTCCACAAAGCTGGAAACTTTGTGGAACTAAACCATAACCATATCCATTCAATTTTGGCTTAGCCTCACGAATTAAAGTCATCATTCTGGCTTCTTGAAATGCGTAAGCGCAGCTTCCAAATGTTATGTGTGAATCACAATGCGAGTGTCTCAGCTGGGGCACCTGAAGCTTTGGATAGGCAGCAGGGTCCTTGAGGTATGGCTCATGAAGTTGGCTGTAAAGTCGACACAGTTCACCTGGACAGTCCAAAACAATCTAAAGAAAAAAAAAAGGATCATAATATTTGGATCATAATTTCTGTGCAATAAACTACAACTTAGGAAATCCCTGGTGAAAATCTTGTTCCAACTACTGTACCATCTCCCTAGGTATGTAAGGGTATGAAGAGAAAAACAATTTGGCCAACTAGCAGTCAAGGGAAGTGAGCAGGAGATAAGAGAGGCATTCAAGCTGGGCTGGACTTGGGTCTCTGGTGGGCGCCTGGTCATCTTCTACAGTGGATGGATGGATGGATGTCAAGTGCCAGGAAAATCAGAAGATTCAGGCAGTCCAAACGAATATTAAAAAATTATTGCAAGCTTAAGCTCTCTACAAAAATCTGAGCTGCGAACGGTCCAGGGAAATGAGAGGGAATAAGACAGCATTCACAGTGGGGTGGACTTGGATCTCTTACAAGTGTGCAGGGGATTCATGACTTATGATGCATTTGATCCCTCCCTCAGGTTTAGCCTGGTCATCGCCCACAGCATGCAAAGTTACAAAACATGCATTGTTGTGACACTATGTGATACACTCCATCCTTCTGGTTTTGCAATGCCGCATTAGGCAGCAATTCATAAATCTTATCACACTTGCCTCCCCCTATGGATGTCCATGCCTGGACCTTTCCTTTTCCTGCCCCGTGCTGAAGTATAAACATAGCAGCAAACTTAAACACATTTCAATGCAAATGTAACACTTTCCACAAAGTTTGTATGACACGCACCTTGTGTTGTAAGATTCTGGTTTCTATTCTTCAAAAAGGCAACTTACCATGCCCCTGAAGAGGCAAAATCCTGTTGCAAAAATGAAATAGGAAGCCAAGAGAAAGTCGGTCGGTCTTCTCAGAAGATTCTGCTTCTGAACTTCTTTAATGATCTGCAACGGGGATGGAAGCCCTGTTAGAAGTTCGCGCCAAAAGCAGCAAAGGGTGTGGTGTAGCATCTCTGCAAAACAATATACTTTGTACCCTGTGCCAGATGTTTTTTAGGAGGGGCCTTGCGTCTGCAATTGAGCAGGAACTTTTTGGCAGGGCCAAAGTGTCAAAACAGTTTGGAAAACAAGGCGCAGACTTCATTGATATCACCTGCCAAATCATGTGGTCTGTTGAGTTTGGGCCAAGTATCCTAGGAGGCCTCAGCAACTTTGCTTCCCAATCCATGATTTATGGTTTATCAACCCAGCCAAATGGTACTATTATAATTTAACAATTGTGCAAACTTATTCAATGATGCCAAATTCCATAATTCAAAGTGAAACAAACTGTGGCTTAGCATTTACAGAGTGTGACACCCAAAAGTCTTTTACTCCCCCTCCCAACAAAACAAAACAAAACACTGCTCCAACCCTGGAAGTTTTTAAGAAGAGATTGGACAACCATTTGTCTGCAATGTATAGTGTTTCCTGCCTGAGAGGGGGTTGGACTAGAAGACCTCCAAGTTCCCTTCCAACTCTGTTATTCTATTCTATTCTATCCTATTCTATCCTATTCTAATTCTATTCTATTCCTATCCTCTTCCTCCTCTTCCACTCTACTCCGTTTCGTTTCTATTCTGTTCTGTTCTGTTCTATTCTATTCTATTCTATTCTATTCTATTCTATTCTATTCTATTCTA